TTTAGTCATTAAGTCGTGTCCGACTCTTCATGACCCCATGGACCAGAGCACGCCAGGCCCTCCTGTCTTCCACTACCTCCCAGAATTCGGTCAAATTCATGTTGGTCGCTTCGGTGACATTGTCCAACCTTCTTGTCCTCTGTCATCCCCTTCTCCTCTTGCCTTCACACTTTCCCAACATCAGGGTCTTTTCCAGGGAGTCTTCTCTTCTCATGAGATGGCCAAAGTATTGGAGCCTCGGCTTCAGGATCTGTCCTTCCAGTGAGCACTCAGGGTTGATTTCCTTTAGAACTGATAGGTTTGTTCTCCTTGCAGTCCAGGGGATTCTCAAGAGCCTCCTCCAGCACCACAATTCAAAAGCATCAATTCTTCGGCGGCCAGCCTTCTTTATGGTCCAGCTCTCACTTCCATACTGGAAAAACCAGCCCTGCCTTACCCCCATCTTTGGTTTTACTGGAAACGATCCTTTCCAATAAATTTTTTTTGCACTGCACAGAACGGGTATGTGCAATATTACTAAATAATGGCATTGAGTAAAGATGGGCATGAAACAAATCACGAACCAAAAAACATGATGAACCGGGCTGGTCCGTGGTTCGTTTCATGATCTAGTTTGGGGATCCCATTTTGCCAAAACAAAACAAAATGCTGAGCTTTTTCCCGTTGGTGTTTCATTTCTTTTGGCAAAAGGGGATGCCCACCTGCCCCCTTCCTATTGCTGTGTCACCTCCACCTACCTGTTCCTGCCGCCACCGCCTCCTCCTCCTCCACTCCACCTCCTCCTTCAGTGTGTCCTCCTTCTCTAATGTCATGGGTGCCATCCTCAGAGGCAGTGGGCCCAGTTTCCCTGCCAGGGGCCTGCTGCACCCAGGGTGGCTGACGCAGAGGTGGCAGGAGCAGACAGGACATCCCAAGGCACAAAGTGGAAAAATGAGCTGTGAACCAGTTCATTTTTTTTCTGGGGTTCATGGTTCGTGTTTAGCCACAAAGGATGAACCATCACAAAACTCCAGTTTTCCAGTTTGAGCCCATCTCTAGTGTTGGGTCCTATCTTGCCATGTTAACTACAGTGGGGTCTTGACTTGAGAACTTAATCCGTATTGGAAGGCGGTTCTCAAGTCAAAAAGTCTGTAAGTCAAGTCTCCATTGACCTACAGTGCATTGAAAACCGATTAATCCCGTAACAGGCCGTTTTTGTTCCATTTTGTTTTTTTTTCTGGTCTGTAAGTCAAATCTCAGTCTGCAAGTCAAACCTAAATTTTGCGGCCAGAGAAGTCTGTAACTCAAAAAGTCTGTAAGTCAAGCCGTCTGTAAGTCAAGGGTCCACTGTATGTCATTTAACCATTAGCCATGGGCAAACATAGATGCATAATTATTGCAGTGCTGGCACTACTGGTTTCTTGTGGCACTATTTGATGTGTTACAGAAACCCCTAAAAACAACATGGCTAGAGATCACGGAACAATTGAAAAACAGATGCTGAAGTGAAGAAAAGCTGTAGAAGACCAGCTCTCTGCACAAAGGCCTTCAAGTCATGCCTGGTTCAAATCTGGTTTATAATGTGAATTAAAATATAACCCCAGTTTATAACAATAACCAAGAGGAAGGTTGGGTGAATCAGGGGGAAGTGGGAAATGATACCTTAGAACAGTGGTCCCCAACCTTGGGCCTCCAGATGTTCCTGGACTACAACTCCCAGAAACCTTCACCACCACCTCTGCTGGCCAGGATTTCTGGGAGTTGAAGTCCAAGAACATCTGGAGGCCCAAGGTTAGGGACCACTGCCTTAGAACATGGATTTCTGGTCTTGGTTGACCCAGGTGTTCTTGGACTGCATTTCCCAGAAACCCTGGTGAATGAAGGCTTCTGGGAATTGCAGTCCAGGAACAGCCGGGTTACCCAAGGAGCCACTGCCTGAGAAGGAAATATCTCTGCCAAAATACCACAGAAGAATCAAAGAAAGCCGTAAGCATTTGAGTGATTCCCAGCGGACGATAAAGAAAAGCTCTATCAAACTCATTAAGCGCTCAGAGAAGCTTGCCTTCTTTGACTGGTGCCATTTGGGTGCTTAGAGAGTTTCCTTATTCTAACAGCCCTCTGAGTACTGCCTACTGAAAATGTGGGGAAAAATGTGAAATTCTGCTGCAATGTAACCCAACTGCTGGATACCTCAGTGCTTTAGGTAGCTGGCAGTGGAGCGACAGGTTGAGAGTTCAATTCCCCACCATGCCTCCTTGATGGGGCTGAACTCAATAATCCATAAGGTCCCTTCCAACTCTGCAGTTCTAAGATTATTATTAAATCACACACAAAGGAAAGCCCCATTATACAACTTATACAAAGTACGAAAACAAAGAAATATTTTATCTTCTTTTGCATATAATTTATCCTGGGTTCCCCCCCCCCTTGAAAACACCTTTTTTGCATAATCTTTCTTCTGCTAGACAAGGAGTGGGACAAAGTGTTAAGACCACTTAGGATCCCATTCAACCACCTCTTTGGCTTCAGATATCTGGGAAGGCTTCGCACACAAACTTTTGAGGATATTGTCATAAGCGTAATGGCTAGAAATTTGCCCCCTCCACCAAAAAAATGCAAGCAGAGATTCTTAGAAAGCTAAGTTTTCCTCCCACTATTAGGTTCTGTGAACATCCTCACAGTTTCATGGCAGATACACAGCTGTGCGGGTGAATAGAGAAATCTTGCTTAAAAATAAACTGAAACTGAGACCTCTGCATTATTCCAAACCTAAGTTCTACATTATAAAGAAACAAACAAACCCTGAGGACTAGAAACTTTTGTAAATGGTGGAAATGAAATACATTCACATGCATTTGATTATTTTACATCATTCATCTTAGGAAACAGAAAATAATACTGTATTTGAGAAAGCTGGCTGCAGTTTGAGAGAGGCTTCGTCTCCCATTACTGTACAAATATTTTTAATCCTGCTGTCATTCCTAGTAAACAGATTCTAAAAATCTGGGACCAAGGATATGGGCATCGTGGGAGACCTGTCATAGCTCTGTTCAAAAGCAGCTCTGGTTCTCTTTATTGTCTTTCTCCTTCTTTCAGTCTCTGAATAATGTACCATATTAAAAAAACAAACCCTACGTGACAATCTGCCAAGCTTCTTCAGTGTAGGAATTCTGGATCAGTGACTCCACACATTTAAACACGGTGGCCTCAGTAACAACACAACGTCCGCTCTCCCCCGCACAAAATAGTGGAATGAAAGTTAATGAAAACGAAATACAATTATTAGTTAGTCGTTGCCAATATCTTTTTGTTACTTTCTTCCTGGTGGATGTAAACATCACAATAGCTTTTTTACATTTGGCAGACAGAGAGGCAGTTTGGTGTCAAAGAAATGCCCGAGAGGAAGGCTGTGAAACATGCTGTGAGTTAATTTATTTAATTAGTGGCCTCATAACTCTTGGGTTTTTCACAGGGCATCTCCTGTAACCTCTAGTTCAGCCACACGGGTACGTGGCGGCAGCTTCAGGCTTTGTCCCCAATGAGTGCCAACCATCATGGACGACAAATGGAAGATCCTGAAACATCTAGGGGACACCAGACTGAGGACGAAGTCTCAGACGACATCCTGAAATTGTGTGTGTGTGTGTACTGTATGTGTGTGTGAACCCTTGTTACCAAAAGCAGAAATAACATGTGAGCACAGATCCCCTTGTATTCAAATCTTGTCTACTTCGAAACTAACCTTATCAGCCTGATTTTTCTATCACGGAAGGAGCAACCATAGAAGGAAGCACTTTGGGGGCACAACGTACAACCAACAGAAATATCTGTTGATCATGCCTGCACATTCGGAAGCTTCTCTGTACAACAATGAGGACTACAAACTTTCCCCCCTCCTGCATTTTTTAAGATCTCTGGATGCTCAATTGTGCAACTTGTCCTCCAATGTCAGTCATCAGTGGATTGAGTAAAGAAGTAACTAAATACACAAATTTCAGATTATAATCTTGTTGGGAGAGAAATTTCAGATTATAATCTTGTTGGGAGAGAAATTTCAGATTATAGCCTTGTTGGGAGAGAAAGGCTGCCAAAGTCCAGGGTGTCCAGTCGGAGTTGGCAGAGATAAACTTCAGATTATTTCTAGTAAAATGAAATAATGATCCCAACCCCAAAAAATGAAACAAAAAAAAGAGAGAGGGGGGAGAGAAAGAATAGAATAATGACAGAAATAAGGGCTCTGAGATGAAGTGCATGGTTGTTATGTTCTACAAATATATCGTTGAGAGAGAAGCCGTATGGTGATGTTGAAAGAGGGAAAGGGAAATCATCAAGACTAGGGAAATTGCTTGAAATAAACTGCCGGAAAGATGCAAAAAAAAAAAAAAAAGCATTTCCTTGTTTTAAAGAGCTGACAGATGTTTCAAGCAAAAAATTTTTTTTGCTAAAGGAAAAAGAAAATGCACCCCAATGAATGAAAGATTCAAATCGCCATGCCATCTTCGGTGTTTTTTTTCTCTACAGACGAAGGAAAGTTACCTGACCAGAAACACCACCCAGATAGGTCATTATTACCTCCATATTTTAAAAAGGGGAAATCCCATGCCTCAGAAGCTTCGTTCACTTCACGACGCAAAAGATGCTTCCAGGATTCTGGCACAGCAGCGTCTCAAAGGGAGGCGGGTTCAAACTCCGAGTGTTGGCCCTCCAAAATGTTTGTGGAGGGCATTGATTTGGCTCTTTCAGGATGCTTCCACCCCAGAAGAGAGACGTTTGGGCCCCAGACTGGGCAAAGCAACCCCCCTCACAGAGAGTTTTCCCGGCTTGAGGCTGCCAAGCCAACTCCCAAACCTGAAACCGTATGTGGGAGCCTGGGTCGAAGGCCGTTGCCACAGCTTGAATGAAGAAAGCTGAACATGGGAAACCCCCAAAATGTGCCCCACAGTTGCAATTCTCTCTCCAAAGCGAAGCAAAAGAAGGGAGAAGGATGCCAACCCATCA